ATTGTCTCATGATTAGACTGGGTTTATGGGATTTGAAGAGGAAGACTCACAGACGTGAAATGCCATTCTTGACAGAACAGGGGTACCTGTTATTAGCAAAATTATTTTTATATTCATCTATCGGCATCTATATTAAGCCAAATCTGGGTTCATACTGATGCCTCTAACTCCAAACCAGTGCCACATGGTTTATTCTAGCCTTCCCCCTTATGTAAACTCTATTTTTGGCCAAGCGCTATTGTATCTTTGTAAAGACTTTCTGTTCCACTCGGGTGTTTAAGCACTGATAAGGATGGCTAATGCTTAAAGCTTTACAAGCTATAAAAAAAAAAGATTTCCATTTGACTGCAGGCGCAATGGAACAATCACACAGGTTAGTCTTGCTTCATCAACCATCTCATTCATCTGTGGCCCGTTAGTTCACATTGTCATCCACTGGTCCCTTCAACCTGACCTTGAAACACTCCCAGTCTCTCAGTCAATTTTCACTCTCTTCTCAGAAGCATTTCTTTTCTTGATATTCTGGGACTCAGAGAAAACCAGGGCAGTTGTCTCAGGCCCTCTCAGCCTCAATGCCTTATACTCCTCTCACGGCACGGTAGTGAAGAAAATTCAAGACACTACCTCTTCCCATGATTCCAGATGGGGTAGGAAGAAGAGGCTCCTTCTACTCCTGATTCCCAAAACTTATCTGGGGGTTCTAAGTTTCCTCTGCCCCTGAATTTACCACAGTCCAACCCCCTTGTCTGACACCCAATCAGCATCCCGCTCTATTGCGCTTCTCTCTGACCATCTCATCCTCTCCAGGCTGGATAAATTTAATATTGTCCAGGGAAAGGAAATATTGTTTTATGTGGGGTTTTTTTTTTTCCATGTATTTCATGCATTTAGAGCTGGGCTACAGCTTTTGAAACCACTCCCTTTTCTTCAGTTCTTCCAAGCTAACCCTTCCCTGAAGCAGTGACTGCCTTCTAGCCCACGTCCCAACGCGGTGGGGGAGGAGGACGCAGCCATCTCGAGTGGGTGCACTCCCATTGCTAAACGCCTTACAAACCTTCTCTGCCGCATCAGTTCCTTTGGTCT